TTTCCCCCCCAGCCCCCGGGTACAGCCCCGCCTCCTCCCGTGCTCCGGGGCGCAGCCTGAGGCCAGCGCCGCTGGGAAGGCGCTGCTGTCAGGGACCCCTCTGGAGAAGTCCTAAAGGTGCGGTGGGAGCGGAGGGCTGGCTCGTCTGCACCACCCTGCTCGTTTTGTATGGGAGGATCTTCCAGAAGCACCCGCCCACTCGCACCGGCAGCCTCTCCCCACTCTCCCCCAGGAAAGCCGGCCAGCCAACCCGTTGGGCCTCTAAGTCGCGTTTCTCTCTCTCTAGTTCGCGTCGTGCAGTGGGTGTAGCACGGGTGACACGGCTCCCACACGCGTGCGTCGTGCTCCTTTGCTGGCGTATCTGCTGGTGGCGAATGTGTCCTTACGGTGGATTTGCCTTTCTAGGCACGTCTCTTAATCCGCCGTGTGCTCTGCTGGCCACACAAGTGTTCTGGCTTTCATTTGCCCTTACTTATGGCCTTTTTTGCCCATGTGCTTGAAAGCTTTTTCGCGGTTTCGCGTCATCTGTCACCTGTGAAAACCTGACTGCGTTTTTTCAGACTACTTAATGAAAGGAAAAAAACGCTCAGATTTCCTTACGGTTGTGACTTCAAAGCGGTCACCGTGAGCGCATCCCAGTTTTGCCAAAGACTCCTCAGTTGGCCCTCTAGAAATGCCTGTGCACCCTCACTCCTCAGGTCTCTAAGGTATCCGCAAGGTTGTTTTGAGAAACCCTGCGGGGTCGCATACGCAGGGGCCGTCGTCCTACCCAGTCCTACCCACATTTCTGCCTTAGAAATTTTAACATACGTAAGAGTCAAAATCATCGAAGCATCGAGGAAACGGGAGGAGATATCATAGTGCAGAGCAGGGTTTGGGCGAGTCCTTTTTCCCAACTGCCGCCAAACAGGTGTATTACATCTGTTAATGCATCCTTTAGGGATTCAGGAGAAACGAACACAACCTCAAAAAAAAAAAAATTAAGGGAATTTGTGAACAGCAGACCACCCTTCAGGAATGGCTGAAAGAATTCCCCCAAACATCAAGGAAATGATAATTGGAGGACATAGATGGCACGTCGAGAAATACAATGAAAAGCTGAAATGTGCAAAGATAGGGGTAAATGCATTTCATTATCCTTCTCATGAGCTTTAAAAATTATGTTTAATGCTCAGAGCAGCACAAACTACCTCATGTCACGTGCCTGAAATAGTGAACACATTTATAGGTTTTCGAAAAGGAGGTTAAACGGAAGTTTCTGGAAGTAATATTGTGACACCACAGGAAGTGGAATGAAATGTCAGTGTCAATAGATTGGGCCTGATTGATATGTGGGTTCTAACACCTAAGATAAGCGCTAAGATTGCACAAACATACATGAAAAATACAGATGATCCAAAATGCTATTCTCAAAAAATTCAGGTGATCCACAAGAAGACAAGAAAACAGGAACAGAAGAACAAGAAAGAGGAGTAAGAAAGAAAACAAAGAATAAAATATCACACTCAAGTCCTAGAATAGCGATAGTGACTTTCAATGTAACTTTTGATATAACTTTGAATATCACCTAAGAAAGAGACTGACGAGTGGATTTACAATCAAAACCATGACTCTAACATGTCCTGTCTACAAGAAACTCACCTTCAAATTTTATTAAATAACTTTAAAGATTTACTCAAGCATGATTTTATGTTTCCTATAAACCATTTCCCCCCCAAGGACTAGAGGTAATGGCATAATGACTATAAATTTTAGAAACTGAACTTGGAAGCACCGAAGTCTTGAGTGGAAAGGATTATCCATTCCATGTGATTGAATGTCCCCCATGCTATAGAACTAACCTCCTTGATATCCCCGATGAAGGATAAATTTCGAGTTGGGGCAATGATAATTAACTGACAGGACCTTTTGTTGTACAAAAGCGCCCTTAATCCTTTGGTCTAAACTGTAAATTTTGGAAAACCCTGGAGGATTAATGTTTTAGCATGGTACATTTTCAGATAGTTCAGGAACACTCGTGGCTTCTAAATATTTGTTCTCTTGGCAACAATGCTGTCTTTAAATTATTCTTCCTGAGATCTGTTGCTTTATCATCTGAATTTGTTCTGGAGATACCCTACCAATGTTTCTCTTAAAACCAGGCATCTACAGTGAAACGCTTATAGTGGTTTTATTTTTTCATCTAGACCTCTAGCTTCAGAAAATATCAGATAATAAAATATTTATGAACAAACTAGTGTTTCTGTTTGAAATAGCAGCTGTACAGAAATTTTAATTCATAGCTCATAAAATCCATCCTTTCAAAACATGCAATTTTATGTTTTGTAGTGTTATCACAAATTGTCCACTGTCCATCGCCACTGTCTTATTTTATTTTCAGTCTTTTACTGATTATACAGATTAAAGTGTTTTATTTTGGCACATATGTACAAGCTTTTATCATTTTCAGAATGGTCTAATTTTAGGACATTTTTCTCACCATGAAAAGAAACCCTGTCCTCCTTACCAATGAAACCCCCCGTTCCACTCCCACTGGTCCCTGGCAAACACTAATACAGTTTAGTTTTTCATGCAGAGTCTCACTAAGCTGCCTAGGCTGGTCTCAAACTGGCTGTCCTCCCACCTCGGGCTCCCGATAACTGAGATTGTAGGTATGCGCCCTCACACCTTTTTCACTAATGCACTTGCCATCTCTTCGATTCGCCTATGTTGGGTATTTCATATAAATGCAGTAAACGATATGTAGTATTTTGGGATGTCCTTTTTCTCATTTGCACAAAACTTTCAAGGTTTATCATATAGAATGTATCAGTGTTTCCATTTTTATGGGTACAGCAAACTGTATTCATCCATCGACCAGCTGATGGAAATTTGAGTTGATTCTACTTTTCAACTACTATGAATACTCGAGTTACTCATATTCGTGTACAAGATTTTGTCTTTTCCTTCCTCTTGTGTATCGATCTAGTGGTAGAATTGCTGGGCCCTGTGGAAAGTCTGTGTTTAATTCCCTGAGGAACAGCCAGAAAGGTTCCCGATTAGCCGCACCATTTAAGAATCCTTCCCACAATATCCAAGGGCAGACACTTGTTGCTGTCCGTCTTTTAGATCAGAAATCTCCTGGTAGAAGTCAAAGAGCAGCCAATTGTGCTCCGAATACGTTACATTCTGTTCCCTTCCATCTATTGGAAGGCACCGTAAAGACAGTAGAACAGAGGGCTCAGCACTTGCTTGCTCCTCCACAGGACAGAACCCAAGCAACAGGAGTGTAGTGACGTGTGGAGGGGAGTGGCTGTGAGAGGGCAGGGGAGTCCAGCAGCAGAGAGATGGACACCTGGGGAAACCCTAGAGGAAGCATGTAGCACAGCAAGGGAATCACAGCGTCCCACACCTGCCACGTGACATCACACGCAGGGAGGGGGATTCACCCCTCTGGGGGGGTGAAAGAGCGTCTCGGCTCCACATCAAGCCAGCGCCTGGCACACACAGAGCCTAAACCAGTAAGAGCTGCAGACTGCACAGACGGTTGGCTTTAGAGAACAGTGCACTGCATCTCCCCGGGATCCCCCAGGGTGAGAAGGGACCTACAGTCAGCGTTTGTAGTGGTCCGAGGGTCAGAAACCCCCGTGAGTTAACATCAGAGTGACCTCCGATCATTCCACCGCACTGTCTCAGTGACTGAGATTTAGCTGAGAGCAAAGGCCCTCAGTTCCATCTCCACTTTAAAACAAAAGAAGTCATTGTACGTATAACGATGAAGGAATCAAGGCAGCAAGAAGATTTAACAAGTGTAAATCCGTATACACTGAACACCAGAACACTAAATCTCATAAAACAGATACTACTAGATTGAAAAGGAGAGTCGGGTTACAATGAAACATTAATGGGGGACTTTAATACTCCTTTCTTAGAAATTCACCCAGACAGAAAAATCAAGAAAGAAATATCCATTTTATTGCCATATATACCAAAAGGACTTAATAGGTATTTGTAGATTATTCCATTCAATAGCTGCAGACTATGCATCCTTTTCATTACTACATGGAATTCTTTCAGGAATAAAGTAAACATCAGGCCACGCAACATGTTTTAAAAAATTAAAAGCTGGGCACGATGGTACACACTCGTTATG